AATGGACAAAATGTTTTACAGTAAAAGTATTTACCCCAATTTAAAACGTAGTGGAATCATCACAAAGGGCACAAAAAGATGTAATAGCTGTTTCGAGTATGGAAAAGTTTTTCATCAGAGGAAAATATTTAATTTGCTCTCTGACAGACAATACTGCATGATGCTTTTGCCTGAGTAGTAAATCTGTTAGGTATTCCTTCTGTTCTTATGGCTTGTTTGTTGTTGTTGTTGTTGTTGTTATACACTTTATTCATTAAATATGAAACTCGGTGAACTGAATATTCAAAAAGGCATCACAAATACCATTGACTGGTGCTAATGGTTGATATGAGTTGCTGCAAGTGTCCTAGGTATCAACCAGTGACGTGCAGTCACTGGAGGCAGGGCCTCACCAGTCTCATGAGGAAAAGGAAAGAATTTTTNTTAACAACTGCAATGATTCACTTAACAACTGTGGCAAGGTCGTAAAATGGGACAAAAGTCACTTACCAAATGTGTCACTTAGCAACAAAAAATTTGGGCTCAGTTGTGATTGTAAGTTAAGGATTCCCTGTATCGAGTCTACATTACACTGGTTTACACTAAAGTAAACCATTATCTCTAGAAGTAAGTCTACCAAATATGAATAGCAACAGAAATCTGACTGTCTTGCCACACAAGAGTCATTTAAACTAAAACACTAAACCTCATATATATAAAACACCTCCTCATATGAGAATGAAGATTCAGAAATACCAGCTAATCATTAGTTATGCTGGCTAGGAACTATAGCTTTTGTCATCTGACAAAGGTACATTATTTCTATTTGAACTGCTATCATGTTCTGGAAAAATGACTCCTTAAATGCTTTTTAAAATGATGATATAGAAAAAAATAGATCACAAGTCAACTTTTTAAAATTTAATCACGGGCACAACTGTGAAGTAATCTAGAAACTCCTTCCCACCCATGTATCACCTTAAATATTACAACTTTTCATGTACAAATACCAGAATCTCATACAAGATTTTATCTATTCTGTCTTTCTACACATTTATGTGTGAATGTTTTTTTTAATCAATTTCATTTTGGAAATTTGAGGCTATCACTTGAGGCTGGTGCTTCGATTGCAGCTGTCCCCAGCCCCTGTTCATTGCTGTCATCCTGATTTGTGAGCATGGCAACGTCTGCTTTTTCTCATGTAGCTTTGCTGCTGTTCTCCAGCAAGGAAAGCATCTACTAATGAAGTCAGTGAAGAAGAGGAATGGATCTGATTTCAGGGCATCACTGGCATTCTCAAGACTGTTCTGTCTGCATTTCCTCCCACATTTGGGCAGTTCTCAATTTAAAATAATGCGAAAGAAACAAAGATACAGAAAGACAATATAAGAGACGTAGCCCCAGAGAAGACAGAGATACACTGCTGGGATTGAGATAATTAGCTGGGGTCAGTAGAATTAGCCAAAAATGACTAAACCCCGGACAGTCATTCTCCTGGTTCAGGGAAAGGAAGTAATGAAACTGACAAACACAGGGAAAGGGGCAAATAAGCTACAAAAGTTTGAGAAAGGTACAGATGTTAAAACTTACTCTTCAAAGCAGTGTAAAATGGAACAACCCCCCCCCTCCCCCGCTATTTTTTTTCCAAACAGCAAAACTTTTTGGAACCTGAACAAGAGTTGGTATCAAAAGTGGCAAGGTGAATATGAAAGGAAGACAAAAAATGACACCTAATAAATAGGACAAATGCTTTGAGAGAGAAATAATTGTGACTGGGGACGATAATGCCCTCACTTTCAAGCACTCTCAAAATAGGCCTCCAATCTCACCTTCAACATGCCTTATCTTCATAATGAATGGCAAAGTATTACATATTTTCCAAACCTTGCACCTTTAGTGGAATTGTGTTAGCTTCACAAAAAAGGTAATATTTCCAAAATGGTATATTGTGACAACCTAAGGATGTTTCACTCATAGGATGTGGCTGGGATGAATGCTGTTTGTCCCAAAAGGATATTAGTGCAATTGATATACAATAGTAAAACTGAAGTACTGACAAGATTCTTTACTTCTCCTTAATTTGACAATATCAATTCAAAAATTAGATTGATAGACCAATAGAAGAGATACTGTATATGTACACATATTCATCATACACATATACATAAACATACACATATATGTAATATATAAGTAATTCTCAACTTACAACCACAATTGAGCCCAACATTTCTATTGTTAAGTAAGACATTTCTTAAAGTGAGTTTTGCTCCATTTTACAACCGTTCTTGCCACAGTTGTTAATTGAATCCTTGCAGTTGTTAAGTTAATCGCGTGGTTGTTAAAAAGATGATTGCATGATCCCAGCACAATGCAAAAGGAGATTACATGATCTCAGGACACTGCAATCATTATAAATATGAACCAGTTGCCAAGCATCTGAGTTTTGATCACATGACTGTGAAGATGCTGCAGCTGTCATAAGTGTGAAAAACTGTCATAGGTCACTTTTTTTAGTGCCACTTTAACTTGAACGGTTACTAAATGAATTGTTGTAAGTTGAGGACACCCCCACATATGTACACATACACACACTGTTGTTAAAATATTTCTAATTACAAACGGTACAGCATTTTACTGTAATTCATTTCATCACTGCTGATTAATTTTTCTTGCCATACAAGGCAAGTTGAAGGAAAGGTAATTTACTTTGTAACCAGAAGCATAGCAAAATGATTATATCAATTCAAAAGCCTGAACTGACACAGTAACTGGAGCTTCTTTCTTGGCAGCTATTCTAGTGGCTTGAGAAAAACACCCCTGACTCATCTGTTCCTATTAAATGTTCTCATTGTCAATTAAATGTATTCAGCAGAATATTAGAACTGAATTAATGTCTCACAATTCCATAAATTATAGAAAATTTGGAGAAAAGTTTTATGAATCCGTCTCACTTGGACACTTCTTATATATTTTTACAATTATTTTATATGGAGAGCCAGTGTGGTGTAATGGTTATGGTGCTGGCCTGGAAACCAGGAGTCTGAGTTCTAGTCCCGCCTTAGGCAGAAAAACCTGCTTGGACTAGTTATACTCTCTCCGTCCCTCACCTAACAGGGTTGTTGTTGTGGGGAAAATAGGAGAGAGGAGTATTAGGAATGTTTGCCACCTTGAGTTACTCTTAAATAAAGGTTGAATAAAAAGAATCAATTAAATTTTTCAAACACACATATATGTGTGTACATATATACATACATACATACATACATATACATACAAACATACAAACATACATACATACATTTTCCATCCCATTGTAAGTCCTCTTGCTAATCTTCCATTTCAAACTGAAGTATTTTCAGAAAAGATCTTATCAGTTTAGGCATCATTTCGCTCATAGAGTTCTTTAGGATCATTCTTCACTGTTCTATTCTTGAAATCTTAATGTTATTGGGGCACCTATTTTTTAATGTGTAATGACCTTCTCTTATTGTATTTGTAGATTTTTACAATGAACCCAAGTAAAACTGTTTTCCATTACTTTTCCTGTGGTCCCTCCAACGTCTTTTGCCCTAAACCCAGAAAATTGACAATGTTAAATTTCCCAATGTCATTTGACTGGCATACCCAGGAAATACTCTGACAGGGTATATCTAAGCCAGTAACACTGTCTCTTATAAGAAATTGCAAAAGAAGATCCATAGCCAAATGGCCCCATCCAACTTCATGATTCTTTTCTAAGATCTGTATCTTCCATGCTTGATTTCTCGACTGCCTTTTCTATTATTTTCATAAAGATATATATTTGGATATATCCTGATACAACGATGGAGTTCATTGGGTTGGTCTTAGTGGCTTATTTAAAGCCCATTATGGTAGTTTCATGGCTTAATTTGACACTATCCAATTATGATCCATGATTTTAAAAACTATGGTGATATATGACAAGTGAAAAGAAGTGTTTGAGTGATCTCACTATTGAATTATACTACCTTTTATCCAGAAACTGTAAAGGGACAGTACTCATCCTTGTTGCAATACCTGCTTAGTCCAGCCTGACATTCAAAATCTGGAATGTGTGAGTGTGTGTGCTAAATTACACTTCTTCGTCAACTCCCACCTCTTTTAATTTTAAACATTTATATCCTACAGTTTATATTTTCAAAACTTATATTTCATCATTTCTTGTTGGCTACTTTGTTAGCCACCTCATGACTGAAAACGGGGCAATCAGATATACTGAGATTTATTGATAACAGACCTACCTGTTATTTCCATTGTTACTGATTTTCCCCCCTTCCTTGCAAGATATGGGATGCCAGCATCAAGACATTGAGAATTTAGGACCTAAACTTTGAAAGTTCTCTCAAAGTTTCTCAGCCACACTATATTTGAGGGAGGGGGATAAATTATATTGTGCATAGCTTTCTTTTGTTACCACCGCATCTTAAAAAAAACAACCAGTCATTCTAGGGAGGTGGGGTTTACAACTGTAAAAAAATATGCAAGGCTCTTTAGTCTAACGGGGAAAACTGAGCATTGTTAAAATAGGCAAGTTCAGTCCGTCTGTGCAGGAAAGACAAGAGTTGAACTTCGGGGCGCCAGAATTAAATTAGGAGACTACAAAAAAAAAAAAAAAGATCGCCAATCCCACAATAAAAAGCGTTATCAATTCCCTATTACTGGATTGCCTAAAAACCAAGAAATCGCGATTTAGGGATTCAACCCCCACCCCAAAAAAACCTCCTAAACATTTCTTCTCCTATCAACAGCACCAGGAGCTGTCTCCCCTTGAATATTTATTCTCCCCCGACTTTAAAACCTGATCTGCGCCCTCCTTTGCGAAAGTCGCTCCATAACTGCCCCAAACTCCCGGTAGCTGCCACGACTGGCTTTGGCGGACAGAGGGCGACCGCTGTCCGATGCGACAAAGGGGGACCCATAGCCCGCTATGGGATCTCCCTCCCTCTGAGAAGAGGCGCTCTCCTACCCCTTAGCCCAGGCAGACTTTCAAAGCTTACACATTGCCCACCACTGGCAAGGGCGAGTGGCAGCCGTAGGTTTCTCCCTGGGTTTTCACCGCCTGGTGCTGGGGAGGCTCCAGCCCGCCATTGACCCCCCTCCACCCTCGACGTGCTCGGGGTTGCTGTGAGGGCGGCGGTAATGGGGGCTCTTCGTCCGAGGTGCCTTCCTCCACTTCCTCCTCCTCCTCCCCGTCGTCCTGCTGCTGCTGGGTGAAGGTCACGCTTCCCCGCTCCTTAATTCTTTTGCTCGTGTCTGACATGCCGCCGCGGCGCTTTAGCTTCCGCTCGGTAGGCACCGGCGGCCGCCCCTCCGCTCAGTTGCTGGTAGCCGCTGGGGGCAAAAGAGGAGCAGAAGGCGCTGCCGGCGAGCGAGCAGCCAGCCAGCCGCGGGAAAAGCTGCAAAGGTTTCCTCCCGGCCGCTTCCCGACCTTCCCGAAGCGCAGCGAATCCGACAGGGAAACCGAACAAGAGTCCGAATGGGGACCGAGAAAGCCGAAGCAACTCGAAAGGCAGAAACGAGGCTCCGCTGCTACCGCCGCGCCTTCTCACCGCCTCGTGCTGGGGCTGAGCTGAGGGACGGAAGACGCAGGAGGGCGTCCGCCATCTGAAGATAACGGTCCGTCAGCGATCAGAAGGCGAGGTGCAGGACTTCTTCGTCCCCCTTCCGATCAACACATCCGCACCGAGGCGAGGAAGCGCGACGCCGGGCAGTTACAGAATCGGCGGTAGGCGCTGCTAGAAAAATAAATTCCGGCCGCGGTGCAACTTGGACGCTGCTTGCAAATGCTCTCCGAGCAGCCCGTTTCCAGCGCTTCCGAGGCGTGCATTTGCTAATGGAATTGGCTCACCCACGTGTACTACTTTTAAGAGGCGAGCATCCCTTCCAGTGTGAGACGTAATATCACCTGCCTGTCAGCCGTGCCCTTCCGCCTTTTCCCTCAGGCAAACAGGCAACCCGGTCCCTGTGCAAATCAACAAATGCAGCTTCGATCCATCACGAGAAAAAAACCATTCGGCCTCTGCCCAGCTCCGCGGTCGTGGGTTGTTTTTTTTTTTTTTTTGAGTAACCGTCCTTGAATGAAGGAGGAACTTTATGCGTATAACAACCCATTGGAGAATTTCAGTTCTGTCTCCTTTATTTTTACCGTAGGCGGTGCAGGAAGCAGTTGTAAGATGCTGGAAGACAAAACGAACTCGGCTTTGCATTTTGTCCTTGGGTTCTGCTATCTTGGTGTCCTCCCGCGGTTGAGGAGCACCAGCTCACCGTTAGTGGGACTCCTTTATCTCACCCATCATTTTCTGGATGTGCAATGGGAAAAGCACAATTGTATCCTTCACTAAAAGCTGCCAAATGCCCTGGGCCAGACTTCTGTGCCGTGAATTTTTTTTTAAAAAATAAACCCTCTAATGAACTCCATATAGCATTCTGGACTAACCAACCTTTGGTCTAGCAGGCTGTGGAAACTCAGTTCATATGTTTTTTTATGGTCCAGTGCATCATAAAAACCCAGAGATTTGGGTTCATTGAATCAACCATCATTCAGTTAAGTGAGGATAGCCATATAATATGAATTACAGTCTCTATATGTTAAATAACCTTCCAATAGTTGTTACCTTAATGAATGGTCTCTACAATGTTGCATATTAAGCTTTACCATACCACTACATTTTATTGTTTTATGATGTTACTATTATTTCTCAAGTGTTTATTTAAAAACACTTAACAAGTGAAAGGTTCCAATCCATGCATTTGATGAAGTTTTCTCAGGTCCATTAAGTCTGTACTGTAATGGTGTGTTAGCCTTTAATGGGCCATTAGTCTAATTATATCAAGTACAATTATTATAGTACTAAATCATTATTATAAAGGTTTCAAGGATCAATTTAAACATCTTTCAGTTGGTCATTCTCAAATCTAGGGATTTAAAACCTTCTTATAGCTCTTATATGCAGGCAATGTGAGATAGAAAGTACATTTTTAAACTGAAAATTACAAATCAAGGATGAATACTTTTCAGTTTTATTTACGGTAGTTTTGAAAATATTTACATATACATATAATTTATATATAGAATTAAAATAAATGATCAGACATTATAAATATTTTATTTAAATAATTTTATATTTGTTAATATATAGTATTTTTCCTAACATAATGTATAAAATTGTTTTTTCCTTTTTTAAAATTTTTTTTTTCTGCATAATATTTTTATTTCCGTTTCATTCTATACAATCACATGTTTACTGTGCATAACCAGGGCATATAACATTGAGTAATAACCACAACCCTCACTTATATAGAAAGTGTCCCTACAATACAAACTGAA